CAGATAGAAAATCAGACATAATGCATTTTTTTCTAATAGGAGTAAGAATTATTTTTTTTTTTAATTCATTTTCTGAAGCCATTAGTTTCTGTCTTAGCCACTATCTTAGCACTGTACATGCTCTCATCAAAATGACTCAGTTGTAACTATTTTCACTGGAGTCAAGCACAGGCTTCATAGTTTCCAATTCAGTGCTATTCTTTGTCATCTTTCTTATTCCTAACTCTGAAATTAAGGCCTTATGTTTTAATAAGCTGTCTTAGAACAACTGCTGAAAGAATTTCTCTGTGACAATACTTGGCAAACTCAGATTTCTGGGTTTAACCCACTGAATCACTTCTAAGGACTTTGCCACCCAGGTACTGCAGCATTTGAAACACCACCTGCAACACAGGAGTCCAGCATGTCTGACAGCTTTCTTCACAGGCCAAAATTACCTTAGTGCAGACAGAGAGCTGCCCATACAACGTGCTCCGATTGTCCCAGACAGCTCATGAGAGTTCAGCCAGTCATGGATGTATCCTGACAAATCCTCTGAGGATTTCCCATATGCAGATATTATCAGCAAACAACACAGCTCCTTTTGTGACTAATGCTCCAAATGACACAATAGCTAAGGGATGGCATTCCTCATGCACTGCAAGAGCCAAGCATAAATTAAACTGTTTTCATCCTTTTTTTAAATATTATATGGCCACCCACCAACACCAATTTTTAGCCTTCTTTTAGTCTTCAAGATTTTGTATTTTTGTGTTTGTTTCTTCACTGGAGCCTGATGGCAGGCAAAATTTACTAAAAAATAACAGAATAACCTCTTCCCTGTATAATGATTGACACTGAGAGGAACGTTTAAGTTCTGGAAAGTCTGAAGGTCTTCTTCATAAAGCTGATTAGCTCCTCAGCATTCTACAAGCATTTCTGTTAAATTACCTAGGCAAGAGTGATCGTAGCCAAAACCAAGATTTATTAAAAACAGAGAAAAGGGAATTCAAAGAAACAGTTTCCTGAACAGCAGTGAACTTAACACTTCAGAGAAACTGGATTTCTATGACGGAACATGGTAGTGATGGGGTGAGGTACATAATTTCAGGTAGTTTGCAAAGTAAGGATAACCTGATACAAACATCACACTGTTAATATGTTTAGCAGTGAACTTAACACTTCAGAGAAACTGGATTTCTATGACGGAACATGGTAGTGATGGGGTGAGGTACATAATTTCAGGTAGTTTGCAAAGTAAGGATTACACTGTTAATATGTTCCATCCTTACCTGAATATACATTTTAGGATACTTATTCCTAGTAAAATATCACAGTTCCAATTTTTTTTATGTTCGGTCTAAATACTTTTTATGATAGATACACAAATTAAAACACAGCATCAGTTTACAGAAGAGTATATTCCTCAGAGTTGCTTCACATTGCAACATCCACACAAAACAGATGGTTATATTATTTTGTCTTCTGTCTTTAAACTTAATAAATAACTAATGGTAAGAAAAAACCCCAGTGATTTTACCTGGCTGCAAACATCACTGGAGCAACTGATGTAGAAATTGGGAAAAAGTGACAAGCTTTCATCAAGTGACAGCTACTGTTTCTTTCCAGTTCTATCATATCACCTAGAAACAGGCATTACCTCTCTATACAAAATTTCACCCTACCTTGCTTTACCTAAATATCTCAGAAATAATGAAAGTTCAAAATATCTGCTGTTCATCTGCTCATTAGCTTTTCCCACTGTTAGTCACATCTATAGCTAAAGGAGAAGGGCAAAGATTAAACCATCACTACCCTTGCTAACCACACCAAAGACTGCATGCAGTGGGAATGCTGAGAGATCCCGGCTTGCCAGCACAATAGGATTTTCAAGGCCACGTTTCAGAGGGTCACTGTTGTGCTAAGCCAGAGCTGTGTCACTTCTCTGATATTTCCTGAACTGAATGAGGTCTTCCCACAGCAGGAAAGAAAAGGTCAATGTCCACTACTGGCAGATGTGCACAAGAATGGCTGGATTTTAAGGACGTACCATGTTCAGTCTTCAAGCTGTTTCTGGCCTCAACTTTTCATAGAGTGTGGGAAAGAGAAAGGAAATCTGTACAATAGCAAACACCTTCATGGCACATGAAAAAACTTTATACACCTTAAAATATTGTTCTCAAGTTTCCTCGCGTAATCATTGCCTCCATGGGTCTACATAGATCTATTCATTGGATTTATTGGCTGTAAATGCTTTCATCAAAATGACTCAGCCATAACTGTTTTCACTGGAGTTAGGCACAGGCTTCATAGTTTCCAATCTAGTGCTAATCTTTGTCATCTTTCTTATTCCTAACTCTGAAATTAAGGCCTTATGTTTTAATAAGTGAAGAAGATACAAGATACACTACTTCAACAATCCAATAAAATTTCTCTTTTTTTAGGCATATTCACACTGGGCTGAGTCTTTATTTACAAAATGGTTAAGGTTTCTAGTTATTGAAAGAGATCAAATATATACTGAACTCCACTTTATCCATTACAGAAATCAGCTTCAGTGTTTTGTTATGAAACTGTAAAACACAGCACCAAGGAGAACCACAGATTCCAAAACTCTGTCAGAGAACCCCTTGGGCACTTCAAGAGAGATTAAATCTACAGATTGCTCAGGACAAAATAACTTGGCTTGCTTTTTGGCACAAGGAAAAAAAATACCACCATTTCTAAGACCTCAGTTTCAGTTTGCTCCTGATTTCCCAAACATCTCAAATTCTCACTGCTGGAATTCCTCATGGCCGAATTCCTTCCAGTTTTTGTTGAAGAGCCTTCTTTAGAGAAATATCACAAAATTATCTCATGGCAAAAATGGGTATTTTCTAAACCCTCATCCTAACTATCTAATCCCTGCACTTAAGCCTTCATCTTCATTTCAATCAAAACTGAAGGCTCCAAGCCTGATTTAGGGAAGTCAGGAGGTACAATCCCTTGGTTTAAAATAAGAAATAGACAGAACAGCAACAATACTGTACTCCCACATTCTGAAAAGCAGTTTCAGACTCTGTAAATGTAGTCTCACAGTCTACAGAGACAAGGATAGGAAAAAACCCACTACCTGAGAACACCTTCCACGTGTCTAGGAAGGGCAACAGAAACAAGCACAGACTCTTTCACTCACAAGGGAAAAAGATTCATGACCAGGGTTGTCCCTTCATGCTGACCTGCTGAAACACCCCATAAAGCACACTGCCCAGCAGGTATAGCACCCAAGCCTGGTTTTAAACAGAACTGCCCCATAAAACTGAACACCTGTAATTCCCTGAGGCACCAACACTGCCAAATCTCAAGCATGTAACATGACTGCACTGCAGTTTCAAAGCAATATCAATTCAGACATCAACCAAATTACATTATCTCTATTTAAGCCACTCCCTCCTGTTCATATTAACTTTCTTTTTTTTCATATTATTAGCTTTCAGTTGGCAAAGTTTTCTTATCTGACACATTTTGCACTAGCATGAACACTGCAGCAGTCACAGAAGAGGGGTATGAAAAGGGCAGCTGATCCCTTTAAGTAATAGTACAGATTGTTTAGGCAACTACAGCCTCTGTTCCTCACTGACTGGTGTCAATGGCAATTAGCCATAATGGTATTTGCAATGTTGCAGTGGAACAAACACTAATCTGCGTTTGTATTTATGTCAAATTGTGAGCCGAATGTATTGGCACTGACTGGTGCTGCAGCAGGCAAAAATTCAGACTGTAAATCTTATTTTCTCTTTGAAATGTCATGACATAAGAACTGTACTTCCAGGCACTTTTGTGCTCTTTTGCTTGTCAGAAATGTGGAAAGGAAAAAAAAAAGGCAATGCTAAAAAAACCAGGGACTTTTCTATATGGAAAGTATTGCCTTTCCTTCAGAAAAGCCAACTATTCAACCTTTTTGAAATTTGGTAAGAGAAAACCAAATAATTTTGGCCAAAGCCACATAGAAATAGTTTGGGGGTTTCCCACAAAAAGCCCTGCAAGTTTCTAAGAAATGTAGATACTATCTGGAAGTACATTCAAGAAAGTCTTTTTTCCTTTCAAATAAAGATTCAAACACAAAGGTCATTTGGGGTAATCTCCTCCTCCTTATTTCATCCATTATGATACTGAATTTCATTTCATCAGAAGGAAGCCTATCATCAAGCACCATATTTTTTAAAAAAAATTAACAACTTTCACAGCTTGCATGGGAAAACAACGCAAGCCATTTTTATGTGTGTCTGTTGTTGTCTGCTGTAGTGGGAACCTCTAAAAAATAAAACAACACAGCATCACTGGTAAGTATTATCACACATAAATCAAACTGTCAATTATAAATTCTGACAATGCTTAACTGTTCATTTCAATCTCAGATGAAGCTAAAACCAGGCAGTGCTACTGAAGAGAAAGATGATGACAAATTTCAAGTATCAAAATATCTTATGCTGACCCAGAGGATTTCTGACCCTGAAAGCATCTGACCTCAATTTGAAGAACTTTGGAAAATTTAACTGTTGATTTGTTCAGTAGTATTTCAGGAAACAAGAATAAAATGCATAATAAACCATGACCTATGCATGAGAACATATCTAAACAGCTAAACATATAAAGAAGAGTTTTTCTATAATCCAAGAAAAACAACGTCAGAAAAAGACCAAAAAAACCCTTAAAAAATAAAAAATAATGACCAAGAGAACAGAAAGGTTTTCACTTAATTTTTCTCCATATGCTTAACAGGTTTAAAAGTCACATAAGTCTTTGTACTTGTCTTTGTCTATGTAGAGGTACAAAACTTATATTAAGAGAAACATGGAGAAGAACAAAGAGAAATATGAAGGGAAAAAATAAAAACAGAGATAAAAAAAAACAGACTTCATATACATGCCTAAAAAAATTTCCATGCAGAGAAAAAAAAAGTGAACTAAAATTTCAGGAACATAGCACTCAGAATTTATTATTGCATTTCCCAATACCACAGATATAGACAAAATCAGAGCATGTAAATGAGTTCATTTAAGTCTCATATTCCTGACACTTTTCCAATGAACATTTCAGACTCATTTTGAAAAACACACCCAAGACAGATTTTCTTCTGGTGTTTGCCTGAATGGCAGTCTTGCCTCTGCATAAGAATGCTGCACTGTTTTCAGATCCATTCCAACACTTTTCCTAGTGTTTCACTTTGAACTGAAGAAAATGAGAATTCTCAAGATGCACCCTTTTAGAAAACTGAGTCACATCAGGTCACAGTGATTTGGCTTCAATGACTACATAAAACATTGCAGTTGGCACAGATGTATCATAAACAGCTTGGTAGTGATTTTGAACGAAATGTGCATGCCTGGAAGCCTGCTGAAAGATGAACATGGAGATGTAGATTTTCACTTCTCATTTCTGTTCTTCATGCTGGCAAAGCACCTGCATGTTACAGGCAAATGCTAAACTCTGTTTGGATGCAAGACTTTACTCCCTCCCTCATTTATATCCACTTTCATGGCATTCTCATGTAGGCTTTCTTCTCTGTTTACTCTCAGCTTAGTGGTGTGACAGCCTGTGGTGTTCCACCTCAACAGTAAATCCCATTTTCAAAGTGCCTTCTCAAGAACCACACTGTAAGATTCATGTGTCTGTCTTCACCAGAAAGCATTTTTAAGGATTAGTTGGCAAATCTGGGGTTCAGAAATTTCTGCCAGTACCAGGAATATACCCCAGCTCCTCTGTGCAACAATAAGAAGCTTCCAGCTCCCACCTTGTCACAGCTGGGCATGAAGAGGACAGAACTGAAAGTATTGATGTGGCTCTGTGGAAGAAATTCATGCAAAAAGCAAGAGGAATGAGGCACTATTTTTTCCCAGCTTTACCCTAAGATAAATTCAGTCACTTGAATGGAGTCACCCTGGAGTAGAATTAATATAATAAAGTGATAAATCAGGCCTATTGATGCACTGACAGTGCCCCTGTAGGACCTTCTCAAGCCGCCAGCCTACTGAACATTGCTCACAGCATTGTCTTCCCAAGCACTGTGCCATGCCATTTCCACAGACAAATTGTTTCCTGACACAGCAGAGACAGATCTCCATGCTTCCTGCTTAGCTAATGCATTATAACCACATTGTTTTGCACTGGTTGCCCTCTAATTTGTGTGCAAAAGGATTTCTGAGTCAAACACACAGCTCTCAGCTGTGGCAAATCCATGTGGAGTTTTGAATCCTAAAGCATCCAAAGATCATAGAAGTTACAGATGCAAAATGTACTTCCCTAACTACTTTTATGATTTGATTATTTGAAAAGCCAGGAGAAAAAAGATGGATCAGGATATTGGAGCCAAGAATGCTTTCTAAGGAGGCAGTGATAGCCAAACTCCTGGCCTTGAAGTCCAAGGTAGCAAAGGATACCCTGAGGAAATATTTATACATCTCTTGGCCCTTTTTGGACTCCTCAAAAATTTTCTGCTTTTTGTTTTCTGACAGATATTAAACCCAAGAGGCAGTTTTAGACAGTGAAAAATTATGTCTGTGTCATAATTGCTTGGTAATTAGCAGCTCTCAGCAACAGCAAGCCAAATAATAAACATTTCTTCCAAGTATATCTAGTCATTGTTTTGATGACACCTTTCCAACTCAAGGTTTCTCAATTCTGGCCAATGTCAAAAATGCCACAGGGGTGGGGCAAAGTAAAATGAAAATCAGACTCCTCTTTGGAAATCAGATAGGAGTAAAAATACCTTAAGAAAAGAAAGTCCAAAAACCAGGACTGTTCCAGCCTTCTTTCAACAACTCAAGAGACCTTTGATGGTGGAAACATTCTGGTTTTCTCCTGCAGATCCAAAATGCCAGTAGATTATGTGCTGTTCCAGGAAAAGCTACAATGACAAAAATCAAAATTTATGTTCAACAGACTTATTTCATGCCTACCCTGAAAAGTCATGTCAATGTTTAGAGGTGAGAAGGAAGGCAGTATGAGAAGGAAGAAAAAATACAGATCACCATCTCTACCAACTGTTCCATCACTGTAAGCAGAATACAAAAAATTCTAGAGATGTTCTTCTTGCCTCAGTCCCCCTTTAATTAATAGATAGAGACACTGCTATGGACAGAGTCCATTTGCCATTTTACATATCTGCTCTAGGGTAGGCAGAGCCAGCACCTACAGTCCCTTGTCTACATTTGCTTTATATCTACAGATCATAACAGAATGCCCAAGGACTACTATAATAGCATGTTTGCATTTCAGATGCCTTTACATTTAATTAAATAAAGTCTCTCTAAATAAAGTCTTTCTCTCTTTCTGTAATCGCAAAGGCCAACTGCCCTTCTAGGCCTAAATGAAGAAGGCTCCTTCAGAAAAGAATTACTACCATCAAGGAAAAATACGGCTGTTTGTCCACAACCTTCAGGAAACACTCAGGGATGTTGGAAACAGAGAACAGAATTGGTCAAAAACTTGCAAGTTCCTCTTTCCCAAAAGGCAGAAAAATAGATGCAGGTCTAATACTAAAGGGGTAGTTCCAACACATCTATAGCTGTTTTCTTCCAGACATCTGTCCCACCTTTTCTAACAGGAGTATCTGTTGGGTCTGCCCACAGTCCAGAAGGCCAACTGCATTTTCAGCTGCACCCAAAGCAGTGCGGCCAGCAGGTCAAGGGAGGTGGTCCTGCTCCTCTACTCTGCTTTCATGAGACCCCCCCTGGAGTTTTGCATCCAGCTCTGGGATCTGCAGCACAAGAAAGACATGGACCTGTTGGAGTGAGTCCAGAGGAGGGCCATGAAAATTATTAGTGTTGGAGCACCTCTCCTGCAAAGAAAGGCTGAGAAAGTTGAGTTGCTCAACCTGGAGAAGGGAAATCTCTGGAAAAATCTCATTGCTGTCTTCCAGGACTTAAAGGGGGCTTATTAAAAAACAGGGAGAATGACATTTTAAATGGCCATATTGTGACAAGTGTGAACAAGGCGTTTCAATGAAAAGAGGAGAGATTTAGATTAGGTGTTACAAAAAAGATCTTCACTCTGAGGGTGGTGAGACACATAACAGGTTTCCCACAGAAGTTTTGGATGCCCCACAAGTGTTCAATCCCATGTTGGATTGAGTCTTTCTATGATTCCATGATCTTCCTTCCTTCTCTACTCTTTCTGTGGAAAGACATTTTGTCTAATTGTGAATTGGCTGACAAAGAACCAGGGCTCAGCCCAGATGTCCCTCACTCCTCAGGGCTAGGAAACTCCATCAAGAGGATGGGGAACATACTTCAGGAATGGAGGGAGGTACCTATTGTGTGGCATTTTCAGACTCCAGAGCCGCTCTCCTAGAGCCCTCACAAACTGAACAGGGTGCTTTGAAGGTCCCACCCATCTTGTATACACTTCCATTTGTTTGTAAAACAAAGCAACCTCCACAAACCAATAAAGACAGAGGGCCTGCAGAAAAAAAAACATGCAGATTAACTAGATATCCCATGTATTTACTTTAGACTTCAGTGCTAGTGACGGTCTCTATGTGAATAAAATAAACTAGCACATTGACAAATTATCCAAGTTTGAAGGAATAACAAGAGTTGAAATTATTGCAATTACACAATGTTCATAGGAATGCCAAACTGAAATTCTCTGAACTGTAAATGAGACCTGAGGGTCAGGTTCTGGCCCAGGAAACACATGAGAAATCTCAACCAAATAAGTGAAGTAGCACTAACAGTAATCCAGTGCAGGACTGCGTGGGCTGCCTCTTCCCTGGGGAAATTTTCCCACCATTTAAACTCTGAGTCTTTGACTTGAGCATTAAAAGTACTGTCTTCTTGTAAGCTCAGTCATTAAGCCTTTTTTGCTCCTCTACTATTTACTTTCTTGAAGGAGAAGCTGACCCTCAGCCATGAGAACACAGCATCCTGGGCAGCCTGACCTGCAGCTATTGAACTCCATGACTTCTCCACAGAGACTGAAACAACAAGGGATGCCCTGCTTTAAAATAACCACAGTCCTTCTGAGATCACTTCAAAGGGATACCCCTCACACATCATTCTAGAGCCTTAGGTCCACAGTTTAAACTCAGTTCTACTTTAACAACAGATATTGTGGGGAGAAGGAGAAGTAAAGTAGTATCTGCCTAAATCTACATAACACTACCTTTGCCCATCCTAAGTGAAAAACAGATCCCTTTTGACATAATTTCCTATGGTTGCCACAACTCCCAATGCCATAGGGAGGCTTTCTTGGATAGACTTCAGTCCAGGATAATCAACAGACACTTCACATATTCCTCTGCCTGTCCAGCCTGCTTGCTACACTTTGACCACTGGACTGTTTTGACTTTACACACCTTCTGCACATCACCAGCATGACAGAGACAGAATTGTTTCATCTACTTCCCATTCCCATCTGATACAAACCTGGTGGAAATTATAACTACTTTCATGTGTTATAAGTTGGCAGAGAACTTACCTTGTGATCTTCCAAAAAGGTTTTTATTACTGAGCTTCACATTAGGTGCTAAATTCTTATTCTTTAACACTTTTCATATAACTTACCCTCATTAGTTAAATCAATGCTGATGATATCCCATAGATTTGCAGAGGGTTGCACCTACTTATGCATGACCCTGGAAGCCTTTTTAATGGGATGTTGTGGAGTATATTTTGGCAGGACACTGAAAACAAGTTTATTTTACTTGCAAGATCACATAATCAGCTCAGCAGTGCTGAAATGTGGCAATGAAATCCTCTCATCGCGTAGAGATGATGATCAGCAATACTACCAATAGATAGGAAAAACTAACCGAGTCGTCCTAGTCAGTGGATCTTACTTGCATTTAAGGCTGACACATACATAGCAATTTGCCTCTGTTCTACAGCAGCTGCAAACTATTAACTATGACAATGAAGTTGATTTTTAAACCAACAAATATGACGGCTATTATGAAAGTTTTACCACTGTCACATGGTGTGCAGTCTTTAAATTCATCCCTTGCTGTGTGGCTGAACTTTTATTGAATTTTTTTTAAATTAAAAGAAGGTCATGTGAGGACAGAAAACCTCTTTGTCAATCAGACTGTGCAGTGCACAAAACTCTTCCAGAACTCTCATAAAAGCCAAGACCAGCACACTGCACTTAAAGCGCAGTGTTGCAGAGATACCACAACTGCATTTGACAGATAAAAAGATACTCCCCCTCATTCCCTATTGCTTCTTTCCGCCTCCAAAATGCCATCATCTTTGCTGGGTTTCCAGAAAATATAGCACTGAATGATCTATTTGCCAACTGAGAGAGTTTTCAACATAAGAAGCCTTCAAAATTATACCCATGGTCCAAAGCACACACCTTTGCTCTAATGCACTGGTAGAAACCAATCAAATGAAAACAGCTTCCAATCCAAGACTTACACAGAGAAGAAAAAAGAAGAATTTTAACTTCTTTTGACAGCATGTGGTGCATTGGGGGAATGCTGACAGTTAGATATCATAAAAAATGTCTCTCATCATGTACAAATAAATTATGGCCAAATAAATTTGTAAAAATCAAGATGTAACCTTTAGATCATTTTTCTTTTTCCCTGTATATGCCCAGTGAAACAGGACAAAAAAATTTGATTTCTAGAAGCACTTATAACTATTCAGCTGAAGAAGTGATTCCTCCTGGTTTCTATTTCCATTCATCTTCTTTCTCACCTCATCATATGAGCTACCCTTCTTCAAAAGAGCTGTGCAGAAACCCACAGGCAGAGCAGGGGGTGAGCCTCACTATTTTACATAACAAAATCATATGCATCAAAACACACACACACACACACACACACACACACAACTTCCCAAATGTCTGAGGTTAGTTATCCTTCATGTCCTGACAAGTTACACCCACCTTTCCCAGAGGAACTAACTCACTCCATAACAAATCCCAGATTTTTGTTAAAACAGCAAATAAACTAGGACCACCTACCACCCAATCCTGCAAGCACTTACTGGTAGACATCCCTGCATGCCTACTGCCATGCACAACCTCAGATTTCTGCTGGCCTGTCCGTGACACAAAGTGCCGTATCTCCGGCAAATGTTTCCAGAGTTATGCTCCATTGCTAGGTCAAAATCAAACTCAATTCTCTAACCCCTGTTTACAGTCAGCCTCCAGCACTGGTTTATGTTGGAATAACTCATAAGAATGAAACACAAGTCTGGATTTCAGGATAAGGCCCCCAGTCAACATGTGAGAGCATTTATGACTGTGTGAGACTTATGCTAAAAAATAACTTAAAAACAGACAGCATTTTCCTATGAGTGTCCAGTTTTCCCATGTTCCAGTTTGCTCTTGCAAGAAGACTGGTAGGCTGAGATATTGGTCACTATGTGAAAATGACAACATTCAATTAAAACAATAGCAATTTTCAAGAGACACTTTTTTTCAATAGATGTATGACATTCCTAGACATTCTATTAATTAGCAGGCCCCAGGCAACACATTTGGAAAAACAGAACAATCTGGCCTTTGATTTTTATCCAGGCCTTACCCAAGATCACACAGAGGTAGCCAGACTGCTGATAGATCCCCCACACAGAGCACACACCCCCAGCAAACAGCTGTGCTAAGAACTGCATGTAAATCACTTTGAAGAATTCTCAATCTACAAAGAAAGAATGATTTATTCATTAATGAAAAACTGCTGGTGTTGGACTGGGCAATCAGAATTTGCTAAGTGGACTCTACTAACAAGTCCCAAATTTGTTTCTGCATCTTTTTTTCCAGTTACCTGCTTTAACTTCACTTTACAAGCCATTCAGAATGAAAAACATATCCTAGATATTGTCTATATTTCAGGACCAGGAATTCAAACAAGCCCATTACTTTCAAAGTATGGAGGTTATTAATATCCTGATGAGC